ATTTAGTCACAGATTATCCTTGTACCATGCAATAGTAATTTCAAAACATTTGCATATAATCATGTGCTCACTAGTAACTAGCTTCGAAAGAAAATTTCAAGAGTCCTAGTGAGAAGTTCCGACAATTGGAGCTAATCCGTATTGGATGTGAGGTAGTTACCCATCAGAGACAATGGAAGATAGTCACATAATTTCGTGGATTGATTGAAGTCAGACATTAACACTGTTTTCTGCCGACTCGATGGTCTAGAGGTTGAGTGTTGGCTCACGATACCGAAGGTCGTGGATCTAGGTTCCCTGTGATGGTTCGTAGATGCACAATGTTGAAAAGTCCCAAACTAGGGCGAAACGGCCGTTCACTCCTTTCACGTTTTGAATGGTGGTCATAGATCGATTCATGATTACAGTGAAATTCGCATCTTATGCAATTTACAAACACATTACAATTCATTTTTAGTACATTTAATTTTTGTGAATAAGTTAAAATCTTTAGGAGTACGTGATGAAATTCATTCTTTTGTAGTAACTATTTAATATTCGAATAGGCTGTTTAGTGTAAATCTATCAAGTCTTTCGCCCTGTTCCAGATTCCTTACTCACAAAACAACTCGAAAGTATGCATCAACATGAACAAAATGAAAAATCTTCAACATGTGAATTCAATCTAGTTTCCACGACTTCATCCGGTTTGTTAAGGAATAAAATAAAAAATTCAAACGAATTTTCACGATACCACCAAATTTAATCAATCAAAATTCCTCAAGTATGGATTCGAGGGATTTTCTTTGTATCAACGGTACTACTACTATTACTAATAGTACTGACGATATTGATACAACAATAGCAGGACAGTCTAATACATTATCTAATTTAATGTTAACCAAAATATCAAAAGACGGGCTTAACAATTTCAATTAATTCACATCATATTGACCAAAATGAAATTTTAATTGATTTCTCCGTACAACACAACTTTCAATAAGATTTTCTCTACAAATAATTCAAGAGTAAAATGGATATCAGTCAATATACATATATGTGAAACAGCGCTTGATTTCGTATTTCCCCATTATCATTGACCTCATTGTCACTGTATTTTCTTGTCAGAGAATAAATAGGAGAAACAGTACATTATTACCAATGTATGGTGGAAATGGTACAATGTATAATTTCATTACAAACACTTTCAATTCACTTATGCACAGACATATAAGGAACACGCCTCTTCATGATTAGAATATATATATAATTACTAACTTCTGCGAATCAACATTAAATAAAAATGTTCAACAACACCAACCGTACTGTACAGTTTAAAAGTTGTGTTAATGTATATAATCTTATGAAAGAAAATATATATATTTAATTTCTTATTGTTGTTAGTTATTAAAAATACATAATAAATTCCTGCGAAAAACGAGAAGACAATTTTTTGATAGGTATCGGCTGGAGCAGAAATCGACATTTTAGGTCACCGACCAGTAAGGTAGAAATTCTCTTACTCTGGATTTCTATTCATGTTATCACGCAGTCGGAACCAATTTAATGAACAATTTATCGTGTAGTCGGACCAATTGTTACAAATAATTAATTCCATTCTTTACTGTATTTCAGGTTTCTTAAACCCGACCGTTGTTGCTACCTTGACGTGATGGTCGGGCCTGACTATCGTGATGAACCAATCGAGCTATACTGGCTGGAACAATCGTTCCGCAAGGTCCTACCGTACCAGACAGGTCGGTTGAAGAACGGTAAAACTAAAAGCAGTAAACCCAAGGTACGAAGGCGAAGTCACACTGCTGACCGTACAGAGATGTGACAGCAGTAAGGTGTTTCCTTAAGACAACCAGCATAACAGCGATGCTGCCTTCCCATAAAGGAGGGGCAGGGTTAGAAAAGGTCGACGCTAAAAACGCACACCTCGCCTTATCCCACGAATATCCGTCTCCGGCGGTAAGGTCCCAACAAGTAATGAATGAAAATGACACGAAAATTACAAAAAGGTCGTGTATTACCGACCTCAAGTACATGTCCCTTGGGCATTGCGGTCACACTCTCAGGTCATTAAGATCACCTCTAATTCAATTTCCTCCTCAGGTACCTCCAGAAGACCCCTTCCACGGTGTGGGAAACCGGAGAGTGATAACCGCCCTCATACCTCTAATAGCACTCAAGACCACTGACTGAGATTTCTTAAAATGTATACCAACAGTAGTAGTTTTTCCTAAATACTAATTCTTCGCAGTTACAGGCTAAATGGATATTCATATTAGTATAGTAAACTTAAAACTAAGTGATATGGAACGTAATTGTTTAATCAATTGGAGTGAAAACGACATATGAAACTGATTTTTCTTCAATCGTTTGTGATATCTGTAGTCACGTCTTAAGAAGGATTATAGATGCGTCACTGTATAATACAGTAAATGTATTCACACAGTATTATTGTTAATTACAACTCAATTTAATTTATACAAATCTAACTGTTAATCCCATTGTAAATAAATCATATAAAATATGATTTATTCCTAAATTGTTTCAATTTAATTGAAGAGTTAAATTAATCCTTATCACCAGTATTCGTGCCTTTTCTCTTGTGCTCATGTTGCCGTGTAGATTCGTTCTGGGGTTACTAGAAGCGGTTAGAAAATCGGGTCGAGCGTTCATTTAGAAGAATTACCGTTAAGACAAAACAATTTCACTTTTTATAAGGTTTGACAGTAAAAATCTAGATACTTTTCACCTTATATGAGATTTGTTAAATGGATCTCACTGTATATCAGTACTGATCTTCATACAGAAACTCAAATTTGGTGTTTGTTACTTTTAAATATCAGAGGGTTATGAGTTAGACGAATGAATCGCAGTAGCCAACAATTTGTTGAAGTGTAATTTCTTCCAGTGTCAAATATCAACAAACGTTCGTAATTATTAATAGATTGGTACAACGTTTCCTACTTTCTACTGATACTTTATACGACATTATTTAACTTTGATTAACGAGAGCTGAAAAAGGAATTCCATAACAAATGTAAACATTCAATAACCAACATGATTGTGAAAATAACCCGTTGATGTCAATTCAACTTGTCAAGTACGTGCTTATTTAGTCGACCTTGAGTTAAAATGTTTGTGTGAAGGTTATTAATACAAACCGACTATCCATATCGAAAATAAAAGGGAATTTAAAACCGCAACCTGTTAGTTGAAAGTTAAGTGTCTTAATAGCTCAACCACCGCTCCAGTATTTATAAAAAAAATAAAGATGAAGTACTGGCCAACATCAGTGCATAAGCATTACAGAATAGGTTTCTTTTTTACTTCAAGATATAACTCATTTATAGGTATAGCATTACACTAAACATTTTAAATAATTTCCTAAGTAAAATGGAAGCATGGCAAGCATAGTTGGCAGTTCTCATTTACGTGAAATTCTTCCAACAATACGTTTCCAATGAATGTTTTTTTATCTACTTGAAACAGATTAACTCAAACCAAAATAGCGTTTTATACAATGATGAAAAAAAACGGTTGATGAATACAGTTAAAATTAACTTAGATAATTCCTTGTTTCACTTCTCAAAAAGATATCAGAGAATGAATTAATAATAAATTATCAACCGTCTTTCATACTTTTGATAAGAAAAAGTATTAGTCGTCTGGTTTAAGCAGATCGGAAATTAGTGGTTACTGCAATGATTACACACTAAGCCTATGATGAGTAAATCCTGTTATCAAACTAGTAAAATTTATTCATAAAGCTAATAATATATATGATAATGAATTGTATTTCGTATGTGATTATTAGAAAAACACACAAAAAGCTATAATGCACCTCGGTCTCACTTTCTGAAGTATACTGTTAGTACAAGGAACTGAAACATGTTGGATAAAATGTAGCTATTGTAACCCCGAAGTCAAATGGCCTTCGAAGTAATTGGTCCCCGTTTTATATATAAAAACAAGTTATTAAAATGGAAGTATATTCGGCTGCCGAGTGGTGGATTTCGCTACTAGGATTTAACGAACAATATCAAGTCTATATTCAACAATAACACTTATAATTTCTGATCATAATGTGTTATGATCCTTATTACCTTTCGCTCTCTCTCCCTACCGGTTCAAGACGGTTTTAAAGTGATCCGATTAAATAAATCATGCTATTAATTTTCTCTTTGTAAGAAAATGTCATTCGTCCAAAAAAGACAACAAGTATCATTTTGCATGTCAAAAAAATTGTGACCCTTAGAGTAATTGATGCTAGATTAAAGTTTTAACCAGATTGCTAGTCACCCTTAGGCTGAAAATAACGAATCCTAGAAAATTAGTTGTAGACAAATATTGATACGTTCTGCAAAAACGCCAGATGTCCATTACGTTTACAAGATGGATATTTTTAATATAAATAAGTAAATCCATAGATTATTATTATAAAATTCTTCAATTAATGTAAATATATTTGTTCACGCTTTCAAAAGACCTGTAATCACATTGTGATTATTGTTGGTAGATTCGAGACAATACTATCGTCATTGAATGAGCTCAAATTGATGAAAACAAGAAATAGAATTATTTCACGAAATCAAAGTCTAGTTACTGGCAAAGACCAACTGAATATGCAAATTATTTGCCTGTCGTCCGCTCTATTCGACTTCATTTCCCGTGACATTTTATAACCAAACACTATCCTAGAATTGTGTTCGTCTTAATGAATAGTTATTATACTATAGGTTTTTGGACTAATATCACTAAAATTAAACAAACTATTAAAGTTATAATAGTAATGAATTGATTATCTTGCACAAGATACGTCCGAACTCAGTTTATTTCTACAATATTCAAAGTTTTAAGACAAATAATAATTGGAGGTTACTGTTTTGTGTTACGAACTACCAATTCTTCCATTTACTGCATTGTCTTAACAATAAAGCAGAGAAAATCCGTGAAGACATAAATCTAAAATTACAGATGACTGAAAGTAAGTAAACATAAATGAACTTCATGATGAAATACTATTTATTGTACAAATTTGAACCAAATTTACAGAAGCAGAAGTAAAATATAGTCCGAATTAAAGTCTCATTCCTTTTCTGACCGTGATCCAACCGTCATCATCAGGTTTGTTACTGTATTCCATACGTTTCTTGAAATAATTCTGTAGAATTGCTTCCGAATCACTTTTAGCCTTTTGATAATCTATTATCCATTCGGGATTCCGAGATAAATAGCATTCTGTTATAATGAAAATAACCTAGGACATAATTCTAACATACCAGGAATGTTAACATCGGTCAATTCGAACTCGTAAGTTGTATTCATTGGAGATACTAAATTTTTTCTACACATTCTGATTTGTTAAATTCAAAGACACATCGAGCTTCAGGCTAATGATTTCCAAAAGTTAACCAGACAAAA